TCTGAACAGAAACATCCATTTTATCCAAAAGTCGGAAAAATTTATGAACAGATGTTTGTATCATCCCATGGATCGTAAAGTTAACTATTATTTTGATGGACAGGTAGATTATGGGCATAAGCAACTCAAAACCGGGAAACTCCTTTCTGACTGATGCCACGTATATGAATACCATTATACTCATTATATCAATAACAGTCCCTATAGTATTTATACTGTATATCCAAATTGAATTGTCCAGCTTATGAATAGTATCCCTCAAGTTGTTAAACGTTTGTCTCAATCTAGTAAAATCTAACTGATCTTGGTTATTAACATTTATTCTAGTACATAATCTGTCCATAAATTCGGTGGCTGTCAATGATATACCTTAAATAGATATTTAAAATTAATTATTATTATTTTTACTATGTTACAAAAATTAAAAACAAATTAATTTATAGAAAATTATCAATATACTTACCATGTAAAATCAAATAAATAGACCAATGTACCATGAAGCAATACGACAGCAATATTAACTCTAATACCTCTTTAACATTAGTATAAAAATTAATATTATACATATTAGCAAATGTGCGCATAAATACTATAAGTAAGCCAAAGACAAATAGGTACAGGGCTATAAATATAACAATGTTTTTCAATCGTTTAATTCCTTTCAATTTGAGCCAAACTGTGATAACATGCGAACCGATGACCGAAATGCTCACAAAATTCTTATAAACGCCAACATATATCAAACAAATAAGTGTTTTGTAGAAATAATAAATGATCCTGAACTCCTGATAGGGAACAATCATACGCTCAGTTACTAATATTTCAAACAGGCCCAAAATGAATATAGACGACATAATAGCGATGATAATGATCTCGGTCCATTTCAGGCATTTATTATGCGAGATCTGACCGTCTTTTGTGACACATATGCCACCAAATGTAACGCCAAAACAGCGATAAAAATTCAAAAATATTCGTATGAATAGTGTATTAGTTGTAGACATTTTTGAATATTTATATAATGTATGTATTATATCATAGCGTTCAGTAAGAATCGTATTAATATTGTTTTATAAATAATAATTTTTTTATTAAATATTTTTTAATGTTTTCATTAAAATACATATTTAGTGTTATTCATACAACTTCAATGCTAATAATAAGTTTCAAAAAATATAGTTTGTGTTAAATATTTTATACAATATAATCTAAACATATTTAGTATATTAAGTGAGAATTTAACATCTGCATTACATAACATTTAAAATATTTATGCACATTTGATTATGCAGTAATTTTGTAGATAATTTATATTAATGAGATTTTATTTACTTACTCGAACTTAAATATGAATAATATGAATAATATAATGCATTGTATTTTTGGATAATGAATAACCAGGTAATAGCTGACACAGATAATAGAAAAACCTATTGAATGAATTCCAATTTATATGAATAACAAAGTTTTTGAAAGATACAGTACAAAGATCTAATGTACAATTAAATAAATGATTTAAATGAATCACTTAATAATAATATTCATGTCTACATAATTCTATAGTAAGAATAATGAGTATTTATAATGAATTGAATGAATTAAAATAATTATGTTTAAAATTTCTTATATTTTGTCCATTTGTGTGAGTATTACGATATAATTGAGTAGAAAACAGAATACCTGTTAAACAAATATAATATAAATTATTAAACATTATGATATAATTTTTAAATTAACACAAAAAAACTTACACCAAGTAATGTATTCTTATTATAGGGAATAAAGCCACCGATTTTGAACCCTATGTGTGTGTCAACCGACTGAGCCTTTAGGCACCGGTAGTTACGATAATTATTTTCAGACATACTCTGAACGGAAACATCCATTTTATCAAATTGTTTGAAAAATGTGTCCACAGAAGTCTGTGCCATACCATGTATAGTACAATTGAGTATTATTTTAAGGGACAGGTAGATTATTGTTGAATATTCTATCATATCATGGTACGTTGTCTTAACTGTGGACACGTATATGGATATCATTATAGTAAATATATCGGCTACAAATCCAATAGTATTTATACTGTAGATCCAATATGATTGATCCAGTTCATTCATTGTATCCCTTAATTCATTAAAGATATATCTTAATCTATGCATATCTAGTCCCTCATGTTTAGCATTAAATTGTTTGCTTAGGCTTTCCATGAATTCTGTTATAGTTAATGATATACCTATAAAATTAATATTTTATTATGAATTTTAATGTTATATACTAAAAAATATTTTATTACATGTTATACATTATACAATAAAATCAAAATAAAATTTATTAAATTTAATAAAATTAAAAATAGTTTACCATAAAATTTTTCTAAATAATATAATACAATACAATATTTAACATCTTACGGTATTATAATATTATGTTAAATTACTAAAAATTGCTTTCTTTAGTATTTAAAAATAAAAAATATTAGTAATAAAATTTACTTTAATATTTTATAATAATAGTACTTACCATATAAAATAATGTAGATAGTCCAATTTAACATAATGCAATGTGAAATAATTATCTGAATTATTGCTTTAAAATTAGAATAGATGTTAGTATTTATGTATGTTAGTGTATATAGAAATACCAAGCAAAAAACAAAAATATGCATGACAATTAAAATACACATATTCTTGATACTTTGAATTCATCCATATTTATGCCATACTGTGATAGCTTGTGAACCAATCATCGAAAGGCTTATAAAATTTACATAAACTCCTATATAAAGCAACCAAATAATAGCTTTATAAACATGATATATCAAATGAAAGTCTTTAATTAATAAAACTTGTGTGCTTGTTATTTCAATAATTCCCCATGTGAACAAGGTGGATAAAATAGCACAATGAATTAACCCGAACCATTTTANAAATTAATTTGTTTTTAATTTTTGTAACATAGTAAAAATAATAATAATTAATTTTAAATATCTATTTAAGGTATATCATTGACAGCCACCGAATTTATGGACAGATTATGTACTAGAATAAATGTTAATAACCAAGATCAGTTAGATTTTACTAGATTGAGACAAACGTTTAACAACTTGAGGGATACTATTCATAAGCTGGACAATTCAATTTGGATATACAGTATAAATACTATAGGGACTGTTATTGATATAATGAGTATAATGGTATTCATATACGTGGCATCAGTCAGAAAGGAGTTTCCCGGTTTTGAGTTGCTTATGCCCATAATCTACCTGTCCATCAAAATAATAGTTAACTTTACGATCCATGGGATGATACAAACATCTGTTCATAAATTTTTCCGACTTTTGGATAAAATGGATGTTTCTGTTCAGAATATGTCTGACAATAATTATCGTAACTACCGGTGCCTTATGGCTCAGTCAGTTGGCGCTTATATAGGGTTTACCGTCGGAGGCTTTATCCCATATAATCGGAATACCTTGCTTTCAGTAAGTATGTGTTATTTTTATGAGCAGTATTTAATAAATTAATTTATTATTTTGACAGATATTTTGTTTTCTACTCAATTATATCGTAATACTCACACAAATGGGCAAAATTTAAATTATTTGTAATTCTGGTGTTGATTTTCAAGTGATCAATATATTTATTTCACAAAATATTTAAACTGCATTAAAATTACTTTATTGTAAATTTTGGTTAGCTAGCCAAACTTATAATTGTAAATAATACATGTATATCTAATATGAATTTTAAATAAAATCCTATTTATTGCCCCATTTGGCTAGATTTCCAGTCAATGGCCATCGTATGAATTGTGATGAAGCCTGGTACTTTTTAATGGTAGGCAATGCCTCAAACCGTGTCAAATACTCCCCGATTGCCGAATACTTAGCCACTGTTTCTGGTGAAAAGAGTCTAAACCAGTCGAGTATCTCATAGGCCATGAAGTCTACGTAAGACAACCTCCCTGTCAGCCATTGTTTGCCACCTAAGAACTTAACCAGCTCATCCAACTGTGGGTCCAATACACCGGCACAATAACCCTCTTTATTAGCAACCGGGTCGCTCATAACGACGCCAAACAGGAACCGCAATCTCATGTCCTCCACCTGTTGTTCAGCCACTTCTTGTAGGACGAGCTCCGGGTCAGTACGGGCTGAGAGGCCGTGCTTTCGGGCCAAGTATTTCAATATAGCTAACGATTGGCTGATTTTGATTTTGCCGTCGATATAGTAGGGAAGGTTAGGGAAGTCCATACCCAGGTTAGCCTTGTCCGATAGCCATGCCTCCCGGTGCTCGAACTCGTAACGTTTGTCATTGAACTCTACGCCAGAGTAGGCCAGTAGTAGTCGTATGTGTTGAGCAATACCGCGTACGTTCCAGTAGGCCAGGGTCGGTTTGCTGCACATTATTAGTAGCTTGGATGTTTAATTTATATATTAATTTTTGAAATTAATTATTAGTAACTTTTAAAATACTGTTCTAATACAATACTGTTAGACAAAGTTTTAGATTGATAAAATTATAACCATGTCAAATTAAGTAGCAATATATTTTTATGAATTTAGTTTTGGTTTACAGTTTATATACTAAATGTGTGAAATATTTTATCTCATTTGTATTATATCTGTATCTCATATCGTTTAGTGGAGTATAAATGGCACTCAAAGTGCATTTAGGAGCGCATACACTGACGTTTGAGTATTCAATTAAACTAGCAAACAGATAATGCAATAGAAATTATCAATAGAAATTCAAGTGTTTATCAATTATTTAAAATTACTATTATATATTATACATGAAAAATTAATTTTTAAAGGAATTTATTGTAATAAATATTTTATAAATGAAAATTAAATAACAATTTTATAATGATTCATAAATAAATTTTTTAATTTCATATTTTCTTGCGTAGCTCAGATAACTCCTGATGCAGTCTGAGTGATAGGTTTTTGTATGACTCCAGGGTCTTTCGCTGGTCATCGGTCAGCTGATCGATATACTGGTGCTCGTAGTCAATCATGTCCTGGATCTATTTGTTCAAAATATATAATTTTAAAAACTTGTCAATATACGTTGTAACACTAAACTGTATTAATTATACCTCGATAATCCTGTCAATCATCTGATCCACTTGTTCCAAGTGCTGTTGTCGGCGCTCCGGGTGATCTTGAATATCCTTCTCAACAGCGGTCATACCTTTCTGTATGTCCGTACAGGTTGTCGTCACTTCAGCGATAAAGGGATTCCAATCATACGGTCCATTCCGGGGACTGGAGGGTCGGCCACAGACTGTCAATCATTATATCATTATTTTATTAATTATTAATTTATGTTTTAATTCATATGTATTTCGGACAAAACTAATTTATAAAATTCTCTATAGTAGAATTAATTTTTTAAAAATAATTGTTTATGAATACTCACCAAGGGCATACGTAGCACAGGTAAGAGCAATAATAATGAATGATTTCATTTTGGTAAATAATTTGAAAAGTTACTTTTTCTATTAACAATTACTAATAAATATTTAAATAATTTTTGCTTAATTTATATATACTTTTTATAATGCTATTGTATGCGTTTTATAATGAGAATTTTGAGTCTGGTACATTATCAGCTGCAGCGACTAATATGAATTCAGATAATAATTATATAAACAGGTCTGGCTTAAATCTCAGGGAGTTTAAACATAAATATAAATTATCTAATTAAATAAATGTATTATAAATTGATTTAATACCTTGTTTGTTATAGAACAACCCCTCTAAAATAGGCAACCCCTTGCCCTTTTATTACAATAACCGTAAGAAATTTAATAATAAACGTAGATATATAGCATATACGTAGATTTATTTTTTAATAATCATTTAATAACTTTAGTGATAATCAGTTATTTATTTCAAAATTTATACATTTATTATGAAATTATTATAAATATCCGGAAAATTGTATAATGATATGAAATGTTTACTACTTCATTGAATTTCTATTTCATGATGTCATGTAATTGAGTTTATTTGTAAAAATTAATTTGTATTGTTTGGTAATCATTTTATTAAATGTAATTACTTATAGGACTACTTATTAACTTATAGCATATTAAAATGGTTTATAAGTTTTGTTATTTATTTATTAATAATTTATATTTTGCCCAGTTGTGTTAGTATTACAATATAATTGAGTAGAAAGCAAAATATCTAAAAAAATTCAAAATAAGTATTAATTTATTATAGATATTAATAGATAATTTTGTAATCAAATCAAACTCTCACTCACAGCGAGTAATGTATTTTTATTATACGATATGTAACCACCGATAGTAAAGCCAACTCTCGTAGTCAGTGCCTGTGATTTAAGGGACAGGTAGTTTCTGAACTCCGTATCGCTCATACTTGTATGCGAGACATCCAGATCATCCAGTTTATGAAAAAATACCTCCGTACTTTTGTGAGTCATACCATGGATTAGGCATTGGCTGACTATGCGTATCGTTGAGTATATGATAGCTCCTATCATTAGTGACTCAATTACCTGATCACTGATTGCAATGATATAGATGTATATCATTATGGTTGCGATATTAAACGCACATTCAATTTGGCTTATGGCTTGTATAGCAAATGTTTCATCAAGCTTTTTGATTGTATTATTTATCTTGTTTAATGCGTGCCTGGTGGCTGATATTTTGCAATTATGCGTATTAATATAGTTGTGTGAATTATCGATTAGACCAATAAGTTTATTGTTGAGATTATTAATGGATTCAGTTATTGAGAGTGATATTCCTAATAAAATTTGTTTTTAATTTTAAATTAAAACTTATATAATAATTATCAGCAATTATATTATATTTATTTACTATTATACATATAAATAAAGGTAAGTTATAATATTTACCGCATAAAATAAAGTGTATAGTTGATATTGATAAAATAGAGTACCAAAATGTTAAGGTTAAAATTAAATCTTTCCAAACATGTTCAATTGACCATTTAAAAAATGCACATGATATAATCAGTAAATTTGAGGTAATCAACAAGAGCAAAATAATTTTGTTTTTAGTTTTTCTAATACCACCAAATGATAGCCATATTTGAAATAATTTGTGACCATTTTTGCAATAGTATATAAGGTTTAAATAGCCAAGGTTAAGTGGAAAAAGGAATAAAAAGTTTTGAATTACATATGTATTTATAATATACAAAAGGATCAATCGATGAATAAAAATGAATGACTATTGATAAATAATTTTACATTGAAAGCAGAGTTTACTCATTCAAACTAATAAA